GGAGACAAGGACAGCAGGAGACCGAGGCGGGTGGGACGGTTTAACAAGTGCAGCTACAGCCGGGGCGCAGGGCCCCTCACGCCAACCGGCACCGAACCGCTCGGGGCTGCTTCCCCCCGGACCCTCGCTGACAAAACATCGGCTCTGGCCCGCTGTGGGTTTCAGACCAGAGCGTCACAAAGCACAGGAGGTGGGGGAAAGCAGCACCTCCTCCCCCGCGAGGTATCACAAACCTATCGGAAAAAAAAAAAACCAACCCAAACCAACCCAACTTAGTAAGTTTACAAATAGGAGACAAAAAGCTCGGCACCTATTAATAAAAGCTTCAGGCAACAGCTTCTGTCCGCAGCCCACTCACGGCAGCAACTAGGCAGTGAGGGATCAATTAGGCAGCTTTGCAGTTAATGGGTTAATAGTGGGACACACAATAATTGGGATTGAGTCCCCCCAGATCCCCCCAAAACTGCTCCAGCCTGGGGGCGGCTCTTTGGGCTCCTTCTGCCGCGGTTCAGACAAAGCCCCTTCACCCCGAGCTCCGGCAGCGCTCGAGGCGGCTCTGGGCAGGGCTGCAAGAGCCCGGCCATTCACCAGAGAAAGAACAAGGGACTCTGAGGGATCCCGAAGGCTCTGTGCGAGCCCAGGCTCAGACACTGACCCTCAGCGAGGCAGCTCTGCAATTTGCAGGGTCAAGGGAGTGGTGCTGCCCCGTGGAACTCCCGACCTCCGCACAGCACAAAGCAGCGGGCTGCCCTGGCCCTGCAGAACCTCTCCCGTGCCCGTTTTTTCCAAGCCTTGAAAGACAAAAGCAATCCCTGCCTGCTCAGCCACTGCCCTCTCTGGCCCCTTCTTCTGCAAAACCAGTTGGAAGGAAAACAAATAGCGTGAACTCTGCACCCCGGCGGAGGTGACAGACACAACTTGGGAGTCTGAGGCGCCTGACTGAGGGGCTCAGGAAAGGGGTAACAAAAATACCTCAAGGGGAAGCTTTGTAAAAGCCAGAGGCCACTGGAGCTGCGCTTCCCGAGGAGCTGGGGGGGAGGCAGGCACTCGGACTCCTCTGCCACTCTCTGCTTGGGCTAAAGTCTCCCAAAAGGATGAGACCAAAGTCCCCCAAAGGGACGAGACCGCCGGTGTGACAGGAGCTCGGTCTCAAACGCTGCCTGGAGGCTTTGGCACTTTCTGCAGCTGAAAGCGCTGCCGGATCCAAGCCTGTCATTCCTGCAGGCCCCTTGGAGCGCGAGAAAAGTGCAGAGCTAATGCATAGTTATAAAGCTGATACTGAGAAACATCCCGGGGGTAACTAATCTCACTAGAGCAATTAGTGAAGCTACACTGATTCAGCCCAGAGGTCCACCTAAACTCAGTCTCCAGCCACGGATACAGATGGGAGGGCTGGGGTGGGGTGGGGACACGGTAATCACCACCCCTGGGTTCCAAACAAGTCCTGGAGCCAAGGAATGAAAACACCCCTTCCAAATAAAAAAATAAAATAAAAAAAAAAGGCTATTCCCCCCCATTTGATTTGGTCCCACAAAATTGTGCTTCAGGGAGCAGAAAAAGCATCAAGAGCCACAGCTGTCTGCAGCCATCTATTGAAGATGCTTTGCCTGCTCACTCTCTCTGGGAATATGCTTTAAACCCCATTTCATTTAACCCTTCTTTCTCCAAATTACACTCACTCCATAGCCAGGCATTGATACAGAGTAGGAGCAACTGCTCAGGGTGCTTACAGGTAAGGGACAATGGCGTTCTGCCTGAAGAATTTCTTTGGAAAAATCTCCTGAAAATCGCTTTAGTACCACTGGCTTTTAAAACTGCTCAGCTATCGACCAGTTAATGCTCTCAGGGCAATGCTGAAGCTCCTGTTCCCGAAGGGAACTTCATTGTGGTTCATGGTTCAGTGACTGGGAAGCTCAAAGCAAACATGGACGGAGCATTTCACCACCTCTGAGGAGACACTGGGAGAACAAAACCCTCAAAGCTGGTGGGGCAGGAACGGCCCTGGGCTGAATGGGGTGGGGGCACTGCTCACCACTGTGTCCTACAGCCTTTGGGTGCACGGACTGCACTGGTGGAGCTAACAGAGGCTCTGACCCCTAATCCCCCCCGAGTTAATCCATGCCTGGTGTCTCTGAGCTGTACCATGCCCTAATGCCCTGCTCTCCATTCCTAACTTCACCGGGTCAACCTGAGCACCTCCCTCAGACACAATGAACCTGAGTAAGTGAGACTGCTCGCCCGCCCTGTCCTGCAGGGTGCTGGGAGAGGCCACCCCAGAGCTCTGGCCTCCGGGCTGAAACACCACCAGCCCCAGTCCCATCACGCATCAGGGACCGCTGCTGTCAATAAACGCTGTCGTGAAGAGCTGGCGTCCGAGCCACAGGGCAGCTTCCAGCTCAGAGCTGCTGCTGGCAAGGTGTGGAGGACAGCGGCTACCAGGAGGGAGCTTCCCACCTGCGCTGGATTCTGCGCCTTCGCCCACGGGGCACGGGCACCACAAGTGTTGGGTCGTATCGGCAACGCTGCTCTCCGTGGGTCAAGTCACAGTCCAGTCCTTGAGGGTTTCTGGGTGATGCTGGGTGAGGCTGTTACAGGAGTTTTCCCCCAGTCTGAACAGGAGCTGGAAAAAGATGAGGGTGGGCGGCAAACCAAGGTGTATGCACCGAGAATGTTTATAGATTCAAGTATTTTCACTCCTGTAAAAATTTGCCTGAACTCAAAAGGGCAGGTTATGTAAACTGGTATCACTTGAACCTTAACCTCAAACCAGCATCAAGAGCAAAGCCCTAGTGCTGGGACTGTCTGCATCTTAATTGCTGTAATCAAAATAGATCTCTGAAGTCTTTGGCCATCTGCATGGGGTATTCAGGTGCCTGTGGTTTTAGGTCTGCAGGTATGGTTTTGCTCTTTGCAGTCCTTCCTTCAGGAACTGGAGGTAAGTTGCAGTAGAAGGGTCTTCAAAATTGGTTGAGAAACTAAAGATGCTATTTTCAACATCTTCAGGCTTCATAGAAGTAATGTCCAGGAAGTAGTTGGCATTGATATGGTGAACCTGGAAAGAAAACAGAGAAGGAGAGGAGACTTTAAGGGCCAGAACAATTCCCCATCCACTGCCTTGGCCTCTATCCAGGACACAGGTGACAAGACTGTAACAACTCAAAGAAGCTCTAATACTTTGCAAATGCTATTGTGTCCAGTTTTGGGCACCTGAATACAAGAGAGATCTCGAGGGGCTGGAGCGAGGGCAGAGGAAGGCAACGAGGCTGGGGAAGGGCTGGAGAATAAATCCTGTGAGGAGCCAGGGAAGGAGCTGGAAGTGTTCGGTGTGAGGAGGAGGAGGCTGAGGGGAGCCCTCATCCCTCTCTGCAGCTCCTGACAGGACATTGCAGAGAGGCCGGGGCTGGGCTCTGCTCCCAGGGGATCAGGGACAGGACAAGAGGGAACAGCTGTAAAGTGCAACAGGGGAGGGTCAGGCTGGGCAGGAGGAGAGAATTTTTCCCAGAATGAGTGGTCAGAGAGTGGAACAGGCTGCCCAGGGAGGGGGGAGTCCCCACCCCTGGGGGTGTTTAAGGGTGGTTTGTGTGAGATGTTGGGGGATGTGGTGTAGGGGAGAACTTTGTAGAGTCGGGCTGAGGGTTGGACTCGATGATCCCAAGGGGCTTTTCCAACCTGAATGATTCTGTAATTCTGCTAATTCAGCATCTGTAATTCAGGTTTGCATTTCACAGAGAAAGATGTGTGGAAGACAGTGGTCTGTTTCTTCCCCCAAGAGTGCTGACCCCTCACTTAGGATAAGAAGATGATGAAGGCAATTTGGGAAAAGTCACACAGGTAAGACCTGGCTCTGAGCAGGAGCGGGGAGGTGGCAGCCCAACCACGCTGACTGCAGGGTGCGTGCTCCCAGCCCAGCCCAGCCATGAAACCAGCCCCTGAGCTTCAAATGCCTCCGTGCTTTCTGCTCCCTCACGGAGGTGGGCAAGGGGGACATGTGGCCACTGAGCTGGAGCCAACCACCAGCCCATGGCCTCATCTGGAGGGCAGCCACTGAAGAGACAGTGAGGAGTCACTGCGTGCGTTACGGGCGAGTATCGGGGGAGTGTGGGGCACAATCAGATTAGCCCTGGCAGGATCCTCAGCTGCAGACAGCCTGGCCACTGCCACACAGCAAAGCGCTGCACTGTCAAGTGTCAGAACTGTTGTTGCTCTTCAAGTTCAAGGCAGGGGGGCTGCTGGGGGGAACAACAGAGCTGAAGTGTGTGGACTTGCTAATGGCTGATCTGCTGTGACAAACTTGGGGAATCGAGAGAAAGATAAATGTGCTAGAAGGTGCTAATAAAAATGTCCTCCAAAGCATGAGCACAAGGGATGATGGGTGCAGGAAACAAGGCACAGTGGCTTCCCAAAGGTCACCGACTCCAACTGGGGACGAGGAATCACAGGCAGACATTTGGTTCAAGTCTGATTGTTCCCCCCCACCTTCCCTGAGCTGTTGCTCTTCTGTCTCTGAATAAACAGACATTTGTTTCAGATTTCTTGGTAGAGCTGCTGTCTGCCACAGCACCCCTGAGAGCACAGCACCGTGAGGAACTACGGCCCCAGAGAGGCCCGAGGAGGCAGAGAATGGCTGGGGGAGCAGGCACCCACTGCAGGGTCTGCAGATGACCCTGGAAAGAGCAGCACATCCAGATGGGAAGAGCCAAGCCCAGCTAAAGAGGTAACGAACGTACCACCGTGCCGTTGGGGAGGCAGATGATCATCTCCACGGGGAAGTTGTATTTCTCCAGGTGCAGGTCAGCCAGCTTGCTGTAGAACTCATTCTCTCTGTTGCTCTGTAAGAAAACCCCAGAGAAACATGCCAGTGCACACCAAAACTAGCAGAACAGAGCAGGAGTTGTACACCGAACCCAGGAGGAGGCAGAGTGCAAAGCTACTTTGCAGCATGGTAGTAACTGGCTCCATTCTCACCATCTGCTTTACTATTCCCCTTCTGTCAGTCTCCCCCTCACTTTTCAGCTGTACGTTTTCTCCTTGAACAATAAAATCACCCCATTGCTGGCAGCTCCCAGGCACGCCAACACCCTGACTCTTCCCAGTCTCCAGCTCTGTGACAGACCCCAGCACAGGCCCAAAGACAGGCTCGTAAGTGGGGAAAGGTGCAATCAGGAGACTCAGGGTTCAGACAGTATTTGGTTGCTCCCTGGGTTACCGAGAAGTCAGTTTGCTGATGGCACAAATGGCCTTGGGCAGGGCTATCTCACAGTGAAGCATCTGGTTTAGCTTTGAATACTGGCACGCTGACAGAGCAAAGGGGGTCATTGTGCATTTTTCTTAGCCTGCCTCCATCTGGTGTTTGCTTGGCCCCTACAGTCACTGGCTTGGAGGACATGGAGGGCTTGGAACCAAAATCCCCCCTGGCACAGGTGTGAGCTCCCCGCTCCTGCCGGCACCCCCTTGCCAAGCACCGTCTGCGCTCACCAGCGCCGAATGCGAAGCCGATGTGGCTTCAACACTCACCTGCAGCTCCTCCAGCTCCTTCACCAGCGACCAGCTGCTAACGAAGCTCTCGTTCAGGAGGGCGAGGATGGGCGAACTTTCCAGGACGGTTTCCCGGAGAGTTCGCCCCGAACCTGGCGCAGGAAGAGAGGCAGACAGTAGTTTGCCGAGTTTCCTAAGCTGACTGTTGCCATGTTTGATGCCATGGCCATGTCACCGCTCTGGTTGCTGTGGCAGCTGGATCAGGCTCCCCCCAGCCTGGCCCTTTGTCCTTTTTCTCCTTTGTTGGCAGTTTTCCCCAGCTTATTGTTTCCTGTGTGTGCTGCTGGCAGAGCAGACTCACCAGAGCAGACCCCAGCCACTTGCAAGGCAAAGAGAAGGACCAGGACAAGCTCACCACAGAGCTGGACTGGTTTGGTGCATTTGGGAAAGGATCAGGCCCCGCGGATCCACCCTGAGTGCCTCTTGCTGTTCATGCTAAGCAGGGCCCATAATTGCTGGCAAGTTTTTAAGGGCAGATGGGAGTAAAAATACCTGCCCCTCTGCAACCCATCGCTCCTGCCCAACGTGGCACATAAGTTCTTGGGTGTGGAGGGGGGAAACAGCTACATATCAGGACAAACTCAAGCCCACATCTGGCTCTGGCTTCTCCTGTGAAGGTGTCACGGGCAGAAAGCAGTGTCACTTTCACCCTGTAGATGCTGCCTCTACCCAAGCAGAGTGAGAGGGGAAGAAAACAGAGGAAGACCAGACCCATGTCTCTACCTTGACAAAGGCACCTGAATTAGCGAGTTGGTCTTGGGCTTGTCTGACAGATCCTGCCCCTGGGGTTCTAAGCTCTGATAAGTAATTTCCCACTTCCAGCCCTTTTCTGCTCAGCATTTTCAGTGCCAAAACAAGTAACACAACATCATGACCAGCTTCCTGACCCCCAGCTCTTCTCAGAGCCTGAACGAGGCACATCGTTCCTCCAGCCACGCCGGGAATGGCCTCACCTCAGCAGGACTGGTCGTCCAGAGCACCCCACAGCAGGATCGAGTGCACCAGCTTCTTTTCTGCTTTTGCTCTCTCAAAAGCTTGTGTGAAGGGAAGATAGGAGACCTGGAGGCAAGAGAGACAGCCTGAGAAACAGCCACATCCCAAAGGCGACACACAGAGAGTTTAATCTGCAGTAGTTCCTGCGGATTAAAGCAAACAACTGTGGTACTTTCCCCAGGAACAACTTCATCTCCTGGTGAGACTGCAGCGAGCCCTCACAGCATGTGGGCTGTTACCGGCACCCGCAGAGCCCCATCTTTACACACTGCACAACTGCGGGCAGGCTGTCTGCAAACACACCTCAGCAGCCTGGGAAATCTGGCCTCGAGATATTTATTGCAAAGCCTCACCGAAACAGCCTAAAAACTGGCTGTGAGGGACCCTGCGCAGAGATTGTTCCAATCTCTCAAATGAAGGGAACTTTATTAACATCTTGGCAGCTCAAAGAGACATTTGTAAGCTCAGGCACAAGGAGTCAGCCACTGAAATGTGTCCCTTCAGCCAAGGAAGCAGTGACAGGCAGGAGCCATCTGCTCCACAGGCTACTGGCATGTTACAGAGTTTAGGTCACCCAGTGCTATAAATCTGTGTCTCCCTGCGGGATGCAGAGGCACAGGCGGATTGTGTGTTTTCTGCTGATAAGGAAAGCTTGGTCCAAAGGTAGCTGAATGTTGCAAAAGTAACGCCAGTGGAAAATTGTTTGTAAGCAGCACGATTACCTGCCTCACTCAGAAATCGCATCGGCAGCTACTGATAAGAGAAAGGAAGGATGAACCTACATTTACAATACAAGCCTGGGACACATGACATCTAGGTTTTGCTCCTGCCTGTGCTTCTGTGCAACCCCAAATGGCCTTTCAGAGATGCTGAACTCCCTCATCTGGGAACTGGAAAGTCCATCAAGCCACACACGTGGTGCTTGGGAGGCAGATCTGAGCTGGGAGACCCTCACACTGCTCTGAATGCTGACCAGGTTGCGGCCTCTGGTTTCTGCTGGTCCTCGAGGTGACCAGACACCTCAGTGAAGATCATCTGCCCCAAATAAAATGTGCCAAGGAAGAGCCCAGCCCCTTCCTCACCTTCTTAAATGGATACATGGCCACTTCCAGCTTCTGGGCTGCCTCTTCCCAGGGGATTTCCTGCTGCCAGGTTATCTCTTCGAACACAAACTGAATGGGCTCCCCTGAGGGATCCCTGCTGTCAATCACATTTCCATTCTCATCGTGGATCACAGAGGGGACTGAAGGCCCTGTCGATTCCAGCTCCATCTGCAGGGGAACAGGCTGAGTTGGACACTGCAGACATCCCACTCCTGGTTTCTCTGTATTCCAGGACAGGATAAAGATGCAAAATAAGACTGTGCAGCTTCTAATGAAGATACAGCTTGATCTATTGTCTCCCAGAGCTGCACTTTATCAGTTGCAGATGTGTTTTATTGGGGAACAGCAAGAAAGCAGCTTCATTCCCTTCAGTTATTGTCCAACTGTGCTCACTAGATTGGAAATGCACACTGTTCACTCCATGTTCCCACTTTCCCAGAGGAGATTTCTGACTGTGGGACACCAGCAGATCCTTAAAATCACTGGGACATGCAGGGCTAGTTTGAAGCTCTGGCTCCTGTCAGCAGCGCAGCCCCATGCAGCCCGTCGCTAGCCACAAGAGGGTGCAACCGCTGCTCAGGAGCTGCCTGGTACATCTGAAATTATTTTGTAGATCTCTTTTCCTGACTTTTGACAATTAAAAGAAACATGGATCTAGTTTAGGAGAAAACGGGACTTTTGAATTCAGGCATTCAAAATCCTGACTTATGTTTCCTGTCCCAAGAGCTGGGATTACCACAAAATAGAGGAATAACCTCATGCAGTTTCTAAATTCAGACACGCTGTTGTTCATACACCCCTCTGGGCTCAGAGCCTGGGTTCAGCTCCTAATCTCCCCCCACTGCCTGTTAGACAACTTTTTAAAATAGAAAAAGTCACGTGACTCTAGAAGCTTAGGATTCAACCCAGAGGGGAAAAAAAAAAAAAAAAAAAAAAAATCACAAGAACTGGCAATAGGGAGCCATCCTGCTGCACTGGACATACACAGATCAACAGAGAGTATATTATTATATTGAAATATTCAAGAGAAAGCTCTAAAGAACAGGGATAACTGAGGCTGTACAGCCTAGGGGCACAGCACCATAAATCCCTGCTGAGACGCTGCTCACATACAGAGGACTGAGAGCGACTCCAGACCTGAGGCAGGTAACCGATATCCACTTCCATGTTGCTGCTCTCGCTCGCCCCATACAGCCACTCCATATCGACATTCAGAGACCTGCAAGGCAAACGCTGCGTATGAGAAACCCCAAACAAATGAGACCATCCAGTGCTCCTCTTGCAGTGTCAGCACTGAAGCCCAGAGTCTCTGGCTCCTTGGAGATCGCCAGCAACACCAGATCCCCGCTGGATCAGGGCCCAGGCACCCCCTCCTGCCTTTGAGCGCTGTCAAAGTACTCGAGAGAGGTGTGTTTTCTCCCCCTTCCTCCCCAGCACTTGCACGTTCTGATCCTGCTGAACTTTTAAAAGTGTTTTTTGGAAGTGAAAGGCTTTTGTAAGGAGTTGCTGGCAGAGCTGTAAGTGTCTGCTTGCTGTAACAAATGTGCTGACAGAGCCATAGGGATTGAGTCGCCAGGGTAATGTTATAATAGAATTTTCACTCCAGCCGTCATGGGCAAAGAGATTTGAAGCTTCTTTCCCCTGAAATGCTTCCAGCTGCTTGCCAGAGAGCAGGAATGAGCTAGTGCAAAGCTATGCACACAAAACCTTAACCTGTAAAACAACAAGCAAAAAATAGGTTGAAGCAAGAGCATCAGGCTTTGCTGAACTTTGGTGCTTTAAGTCAGGCACTGGGATTGCCCCTGGCTGCTCTCCACCCCCTGCCCCCCTCTCCCCATCCTCCAAGTACCAAGGGACAGTGAGTGAATCAGACCCTGAAATGGGTCAGGGATCCTCAGTGACTAGAGATGCATTTGCCAGTTTTACAGACAACTGCTGAGCAAAATTCACTCAGATTTTCCAGGGACGTGGCTGAAAATCGTGAGCTCATCCATCACAGATACCCAAGGAGCCTTCTGCAGCTTGCAACAGGTATGTGACATCTGCAGGAGTCCCTGCCACAGCCAGAGCCCGCTGAGACAGGTCAAGGGGAGCAGCACTTGCAGCAGTGCTCCTAACGAAGAGGCTGCTGCCTGTCTCGAGGGCAATACCAGAACAATATAAAACTCCCCATCCTTGTGCATCTTCCCATCAGCCTGCAGGTACCTCCCTCTGAAGCCGTTTGGCACAGGGCAGCTCAGGCTTGAGGCATGTGCCAGTTGCAGCCAGGTTGTGCAAGAATATCCATCCCCAATGCCATGCTCCACGTCCCCAGGTAACCTCTGCTCTGCTTCCCCCCTGACCCTCCTCTGCCCTTGTCCCTCCCTGCCTCTTCCAAGCCAGGTGCTCCCCAGACCTGTTGATAAACAGAGCTATTTCTGAAAAATTGCATCAGAACCAGTTTAGGGAGCAACTGTATCTAGAGAATTGATGACACGATGACTGTGGTGACCGCTGGCAGAGAAGGATGTGTGGGGAAAACAGATAAGCAAAGAGCCAAAGCTCAAACTGCAGATCTGCTGTCCCTGCGTGAGCCAGGATGTCCCCATACCACAAGGGACAGGGCTGTCCCTGCACTTGGATCTTCAGAGAAATAGAACCCCCCAGCCTTCCCAGGCACAGCCCCCCGTCCTGCACAGGACAGGATCCCCGAGCCCCCGGCTTCCACGGGGCTTCATGTATAACAATCCTCCAGTCTGATCAGCACCCAGGGAGAGAAACAGCTGTACCTGTTGTTAGGGACAAAGAGTTTAAACTCTCGGACATGGGAAGAATCCTTGGAGAGGATGATGTGACCTGTGAACTGGCCTGGGGAAAACCAGAAGGGGAAGTCTGGTGGCTCATTCAGCTGGAACTCAGCATGGATCCTGAAATGAGAAAGGAGCCATCAGCTGCAGTGCCAGGAGGAGAGAATGGATCACGCACTGCAGATGACAGCAGGGAAAAGTTATCTCCAGGCACCAGAAATTATGAAGCTAAATTGGTGCAGAGATTCAGTTTAAAAAGCTTTTCGTGTCACACAATGAAGAGAATAAAAGACTGGAGCAGATCCCCTGGGTCAGGATCATCTCCAGTATCGATGCCTTTTGAAATTGGGCAGTAAGTGTCCATGCAGGAAGGATGAATTACATCATCATTCCCTGAAACACAGGAACAGACTATGACCCCTTCAGCCTCCCTTCCAGCTTGATCAGGCAAATAAAAGCTGCGTGTAACATTCCCAGTGAAACAAGAGAACAATTCCCCAGACTCTCCCCCTTGAAAACACACTCCACCCCCACCCACTCCCCATTAAGCAAAATCTAACAAATTTCTTGCTAACAAGACTCTCCCCTTTCAGCCAGGGATAGCTCCAAACCAAGGGTGATGGAGAACAGCTGCTATATTGCATCTGGGCAACAGTCCCTGTCTCACCAGGGACACAGTGACACTGGGAGCACGGGTGCCCTCTTCGGGCGCCAGCAAAGCAGCACACACAGGCAAGAGCTGGCTGGGAACCACCTTCTTTCTCCCTCCCAGCCAGGACACATCTGGTCTGGCTTGGGAACACAACTGCACATGCAATGACACGCACACTCTCTGCTACGGGCTCAGGGCAGCCTTCTCCACTCCCCTGAGATACAGAATAAATTCAGAAGTGCCCCCGAGCCCTCCTCTAACACCCGGACTCACGGACTTACCTGAATGCTACGGTGTAGTAGAAGGTGCTGATGGCTTGGATGCAGGCCACGGCACCCTGGGGAGCAAAGCGGGTTTTGACGAAGGGGCGTGGGTGGAACATGCTCAAAAGCCTGTGGATTATGATCTAGAGAAAGAAGCGTAAGAGAGTAAAAATGAGAGCAGTTCCTCCACCGCAGGTCAGCTGCAGCTCCAGAGTAACACCAGATCAGGAAGGCAAGAGAACTGCTATGACTTAAAAATTAGCTCGGAGACCTACCTAATCACAAACCAAGGAGATAAAGCAAGAGACTGCTTTAAAAATAAATCCATCTTCCACGCTTTTTATGCTATTCCCATTGTTTGCAAGTTTCCATCATCCCAGCCGGTTGAATGTCTGAGTACGGTAAACTGATCTATGAGGCTGCCTCCATCAATACCACTTAAGACTTTGAAAGAGTGGGTATGCAATCAATAAACACACCCGGCTGCGAAGGTGTATCAACTCTGTGATCACTAACACCTACCCGGGCACCCGGGGGAGAGCCATGTACACGCCTGGCTTTACAAACTCTGTATACACATCGTTTTGCTTGTCAATGAAACGCTCACCTCTGGGGTGGCACACGGCAACTGTTCCTCAAGGCACAATCACTTCATACAAGTGCTTTTGGAACAACCCTCCCTGTCCAGGAAAGACTAGCCTAAAAACCCAAACACTTCAACAAAGCAAGATGAAGTCAGCTTCCTCTGGCCATGACAGACACCCAAAGCTTTTGTCTGCTCTCAAGTTTTACCTCCAGTTTAGGAGACTGTGCTCCTGGCTGTACGCTGCAGCCTTTTTGCTCCCTTAGAAAGTCCAGGGAGACACAATGCAACAACCTTATCCACCCAAGGGACTCCCGCGATTCATCTGGGCTATAAGCAGAACATCTACACAAACTACCTCTCAGGTATATAAAAAACTAAGTTTCATATCTCACCTCTTTGCCCTTGGGGGACGGAGGGTAAAATCTGTTGTTGGAAAGATACCCAGTGAAGATGTTCAATTCACTGGGAATTATCCACCACGGATCCCCAAGATTCAGTTTATTCTTTGGAGGAAGAAAGGCTTTAAACTGCCTGGCAAACATCACACTCATAGGAGCTGCTGGGGCAGTCCAATTCCTCAGCCCAGACAGAGCAACGTGAGAAATCTGTGAAAAAAAGACACTATCAGAGCCTAAGCCAGACTTCTCCAACGTGCAGTAGCGCTGAAGGACTTAAACAGGCTTTGAAGAAGGGGAGAATATACCATGTTTTAAATCTTTCCTATCACCGCAAACACCACCAAATAGTTCCGTAAACTTTCAATTATGTCAGTAATAGAAAATGGGAGAGGGACACGTACCACGTAACACCACTGCTTTTGGACTAAGCTCCAAGAGAGCCATCTCGAATGTCTGCTTCAAGCTTCCCAGGAAGGGCGTATTAATTGGGGCATAGTGCTGCTGAGTGCACTGAAAACAATGAAACGCTGCAGAAAGCAGTGAGCTTTCTTGTCAAAGCAAATCCCACAGGCTCAAGCAGCACCATCTCCCCCTCCCAACAGGCTGGCGTTTATTCCAGCTGATGTTACCAGCCCACAGGACTTGTTTACACCAGAATTTCTGGCCATACACATCCTGCGTGATACTTACTCCCAAGAAACCATCTTTGCTCTTCGTCATCGTTTCCATGACCAAAGGCTGGAATTTAGCCACAACAGACAATGTCTCCCCGCTTGGATCAGGCGTCTCCTCCTCTTCCAATTCTGACATGGGAGCAACCCCTAGACAAAGGGAAAGGAATTTAAGCAGCTGTTTCTCTTCCCTCCCCTTTTAAGCAGTTGTGATTACACATTTAACCTGGCAAATCCAGGAGCACTGGGAGTTTCCCAGCTGTCCCTACGCTGTATGCAGCAGCCGAACTCAGACCCACCCCAGCGATCAGCTTCGGCCACATGAATTAAAGGGGAGCTCTCCTTTTAGCAGACAACTTTCTAAACCCCACGGCTCAGCTAAGCAGTCTCATTCCAGCGAGAAGGGATCAGAACACACGGCTCAGCTAAGCAGTCTCATTCCACCAAGGAGGGATCAGAACACACGCTTTAGCCAATTCATTACAGCACAAGCAATCAACTGTCCGTATTTCGACTGTGCCGTAAGCTCTCTTGCACATTATCATCACCACACTTCTTCCTGCTTGGCACCACCAAGAGATGTCGGCCACACACTGATCCAGTCTCCAAACACGATCTCTCACAATTGCTAGGTGAGACAGACCGCTATAGCCGGAGGAGCGTGCGAATGAAGCGCTGCCACTCACTAATAGTTTTGGCCTAGCCCCGGCTGAGCTGTATTTGATGCATTCACCCATCCCAAATCCTCTTTAAGCTCTAGACAAAGTAACTTATGTACTTTGTTAGTCCAGCAATGGGATCTTCCATCTTATAAAAACTCTACTTCGTGAAAGTGATGTCTAGAGCTTAAGCCTTTTCAAAAACATGCAAAGCTGAGCAGTCTATCTTCATGAAAATAAGACTCAAAACAGCACCCAGAAAAAAAAAAAGACATAAATAAAAACTGTTGAGTGCATTATCTTTGGCTTTTGCTCAGTCTGTGCAGATAGAGCTTTGAAAGGTAGACAGATACCCACCCGTCAGCTTCTCAGCTATGGGTTTGAACTCTTCTGGACTGAGGTACAGATCGTTGTTTGTGTCCAGAGAAGAAAAGAGAAACAGCCCCTCATTTCCCAAAGACTTCAGTGCCAGCTCCTAGTTTGGGAAGAAAAGGCAAGTGAGATTTCATTCCAACCTCTTGCAGAAATCCACTCCGGCCCCTCTCAGCTTCAGAGTTAATTTGCATTCTTTCCAGCACACAAACAGCCATCAAATCGAGAGATTAATGCCCCTTGGCAGGATTTTGTGCTATTTACAATAGGGATCGGTGTCCAGGAACTGTTGGCATGAGCATATTAAAACTACATCTGGCTGAGTAATTCAAACTGAATCATTTGCTCAGAGTCGGCCTCAAAGCCTTTTGTCAGAAAAATTTCCAACTTTTTCCAGATAGTTACTCCTAAACCTGCAGATATTCAGGGCACCTGGAGATCGTGATTTCTGTAATTAACTGATGTGCAGTGAAACAAAGGCAGTCAAATACATGACTATCCACATTACAAAAACACAAAGGAAACGAACTGAGCCCTTGTAACTCTGCAGAAACCAACTTCACTCACACCTGTGCCGAGATCCATGCCAGTGTCACCGCACACTAGTGCCCTGCTCTGGGCAGGTTCCCCTCCAGGTCTCCATCGTCAGGACTGGATGGAGGATTTCAGCCCCTTGCTCCGCAGGGAGCACTGCCTACTCAGTCAGCCATCCATCGGGGAGCCACAAATCCCATGGTCTTCTCCAGAAATTTCTGCAAGGTCTCAGCCAGCCTGTGCCTCAGCGTCTCCCTCTGCAAAGCTCACAGGGAGAGCATCCCGTGGAAAACACCACTGAAACACAACGCTGGAGCAGCCCCAGAAAAGCTCTAGATGCTTCTAGTTATTTCCGCTCCACAGCGCTCAGCACTGAAGGGGAAGGGACAACTTGGAGGCAGAACAAGAGAGCTCCACGTCGGTGTGAGAGTGAAAGACATGCAGCGAGTCAGACAAGCCACATCGCTGCCAGCCAGCCTGCAGCACATCCCCTGTGACCCATCATTTGGGGCAGCTTCCCCTGCCACCCCCGTAAAAGCCTCAAGCTGCAAGGATAAATACTCTGTATTCTGCTGTTTAACCGTGTTTATTCTCTATTGCCTGCAGCACCATTACCATCCCCAGAGCTCCTGAACTAGTTTATTTTCCATCTGTTGCCTGCCAGCCTGAAGCAGCACTAATGCAGCCTGGAAGGCTTTGCTCCTGTCAACTGCAGCAACAAAAGCACTTAAGAGCCTTCCAGGGCAGTTTCAGGACTGAGACAGACAGAAATAAAGACCCTGGAATACAAACCAGAGATCTGGATGCAGACATGGCCGAGGGAAGACAAGGAGGGGAAGGCGCAGAAACTCTGCGGCTGAAAAAAGCAATGAAGGAACAAGATGGTTATTTATCTATGCACAGGAACAATCCAGAGTGTCGATGTTCCTGGTGCCAAAGCTGTGCTTTTGCTCCCCAAAGCATGGGGATGCACAGCCTTGGCTCTGTAAACAGGTAACAACATTTTTCTGAGCAGCTGCCCTGCTCCCTGCCAGGGTCATGCCACGAAGCCTTGCGTGAGGCTTCAGTCTCCTTCTTGGCTTTATCTCTTGCTCCTGCACGGCACTTAATGCATCAACCTCGCAAGGGCTCACAGCCCAGCGGGGTGTGCAGGGAGCACGATGGCTTCCTCCTCTGCAGAGGAGCCCATCCTGGGTGCGTACTGAGCTCTGAAGAGACAGACCATTTCCTAGTCCTCTCCACAGCGCGTCAGCGATTCCCTGCTGATGAATCTTGTCGAGTCTCTCTTCTCTTCGCATTTCACAGACACGGACCTCAAGGGATGAGAGGCAAATGAGCAACAAAGTTTTGAGTTGGTTGGACTGCCTGCTGCTCTAGTGTTAGGAAAAAGGCATGAGCATTTATTTACTTATGAGGGCTGAAGGCAGAAAGAGAACCAGTTATACCCCACCCAGAAGAACATCTCTGCATCTAAGCAGAAGGTGAAGAGGGTAATACTGATACCTGGGCTTAGACATTAGCATCCAAAAATCAGTCTAAATGGAGAGCACACTCCCATCCCCTCAGCCTGCACTTCCACAAAGGTTAAGCAATGAAAAGCCCTCAGCTGCAGGACAATCAGATAATTATTCCCACAACCACAACTGGCCAGAGATATGGCAGCTTTGTGGTCAGGAGAGACACGTGTGTGTGCACACATCTCATACGCGTGCCCGCAGGCGGCTGAACGCAGCCTCCCCGCTCACTGGGCTGGTACCCAGCTCCTGCCTGCTCCAGCCGACGCTGCCTTCCCCAGAGCCAGTTAAAACAGCCACTTCTCCAGCAAAAGCACGCTCCAGGCAGTACTGGCAGAGCGCATCAGTTCTGCACACCCCCCTGGAACAGATCACTCCCTTTGGAAACATTTATTTATACCCTGGTGAAGCACGGCAGCTCAGCTCCGCACAGCCTCACTCGCGCCGGGACGGCAGATCCCACCCGGCCGGAGGTGAGAGCCCAACCACGGAGGAACAAAGATTTCTGCAGAGCACACACCAGTCCTGCCAAAAAGCATGATAAAAATTAGGTTTAAAAGGGGAGAGAGATGTCAGGGCTTGGCCTTTTGCTTTCTGATAACATTCACGTTAAAGAAAGCTCTCCAGAGCCTGTGTTTTTTTGCTTTTTATTTTCTAATCTGAGATTATAAGAAATAAAATGTTTCCCTGTTTATGCCAGAGGAGTAAACCAGCTTTTTCAGTCTTTTTGTAAAGCAGAGTTGTGTTTTTCCACAAAGAGTTTTCTTCTCCCACCTGCCAGTGGGTTGTTTAGCTAAATAAACATTTCCATAGAAAGAGACAAGACATATGTTTTAAGCACCATGAAGGAAAAATAAAAACCTTGGGCTGTTCACATTTTGTTCTCCTCTCCAGCAGTGCCCAGGCACAGCCCATCGTCTAGAAAAAAAACAAACCTCCAGAAGACCAGGCTTTTTGTCAGGCAGGGCTGAGGTCCTCTCAGCCAGCGGTGACTGTCCTGACCCTTCTGTCCCTGTAGGAAGAATCCTTCTAATTAACTGGTTTGAGCAATTTTCCCCTTTTTGCAATGCAAGAAGAGACAAAGAAGAGAGGCATCTTTTAAAAAACACTTTCCTTTTTACTATAGAAATATCAAGAACAAGAAGTCTGCTCTTTTCCATGAACCTTTTTAGATGTTCAAGGATGCCCGGCGAAGCGAAGCGCCGGGGGAGCGAGGTCTTAAACAAAGGCTCCTCTCTCCAAAGCACGCAGCAACCACTTGAATTATACAGATTACAATCAAAAACAATGTCAATCCGCCTAATTAAAAAAAAAAAAAAAA